GTCATGGCCAAAATATTTTATCCATTATGTGATGATAATGTTGATGTTATCAGAAAACCTTTTTGGCACATTTGGGGAAGCATTTGTGTTTTCCTCACTTGCGAGTTTGACAATTACATGAAAATACCATTTTCAACAACTGTCTAAAACACACACACAGCCAGAGATTTACATTCAGAGCCAAACATAAAAAAACTCTCCAGTGGTTTTCATTATAGGCTTCTATCTTCTTTGGAGGCTGAGAAATAAAAATGAAGTAAACATTCACAATTCTGTCTGCGTCAGTTCAGTTCTTTTAAAAATCCCCAGGTGCTAAAAGGCTGATTCTAAATTATGCTGTTGTTTAGGAATTTCCACTTTCAGGTCCATGCCTATGTGTAAATTTCTGACTGGAAAAAAGGGGATGTCTTATTTGTCTTGAGGCGCTCCATTTCTACTGAAAACATATTATTTTACAGAATGTAAGCATTAAAATCAACCGTTCAGTGTGACGAGGGCCTTTTATGTTGAGATTCTACACACTCTGCGTTTCATTGGGTTGGGCGTACTCCCTTGAAGAACCCAATTAAAACGAGCTCGGAGATAAACAGTGAGCGTTCGAATCCTGCTGAAGAGAAAAACCTGGAAACTGTTTAGTATTAGAGTCATGTGAGTATAAAGCTCAGACATCACTGCAAGCTCAACTCATCGCCACACTCTGGTATCAGACTGAATATGTGGCAGTGACAGTGAGTAGCAAACAAAAGAGAAGGCATCTATCAAAGAAACTTTTCTTTTTTTTATGCTGATAAAACAGCTTAGATCACGTTGCCTTAAAAAGTGTTTCGTTCTACTTTTGAGCACAATTTGTAGCAGAATATAAAGCAATGTATTTCTGGACACAATATTCTGGTTCTCCCCGAGTCCTGACAATAATCACTTGAAAATAAGTACCAAGCATTTACTTTCAGGACCATTTGTATTCTATCTATGGGTTAGTAAGGCAGCAACTTTAGACAGTGAAATGTTGAATAAAAAGGAAAATATCAGAGGCTATTCATGGCACGATTACCATGTAAAATTTTACTGATCAAAACTATCCTATTAGAAAATTAAAACACTGAGAAACATCTATCTAAAACAAATAATATAACAGCTCAACTTTAATTTGTAATATATGCATTGAGCATTACCAACGTCTCCAACACACCTGGGTTACTCTATGTCATCTAAACAACCTCTTTTCAATTATTTTTAACTCTTTTTTTCCTTTTTGTAAATGTTTTGATATAATATTAAATAAAACCAATCATATATTTGTCTTTTTACTGACAAAGGCTTTTAATGATGTTGTTGAAGCTTTGGACACTAAGGATTACTGTGCTGCACTTTACTTAGACCTGTCCAAAGCCTTTGATACGGTAGATCATGACGTCTTATGTCACAAGCTCTCAGATATTGGCTTCTCAGATCACACTGTTGGCTGGTTCTCAAACTATCTCTCAGGTCGGAGGCAATGTGTTCAACATAACGGTACTTCATCTAACTACCTAATGGTCACCAATGGTGTGCCACAAGGCTCAGTTTTAGGCCCCACTCTTTTTACAATTTATATAAATAATGTAGGTCAAAACATTCCTGACGCATCCTTGCATCTCTATGCTGATGACACTGTTGTTTACTGCCGAGTTAACACTGTTTCCAAGGTTTTCCAGCTTCTACAGTCTGCATTTGACATCATTCAGTTAGACTTATTCCATCTCAAGCTGGTGCTAAATGCTGACAAAACCAAAGGGATGTTGTTTTCCAACAGAAAGTCAGTGCCAGCAACTCTTCCTCCTATCTCATCCATGCATGTTGTGCCTATTGAGTTTATAGATTTTTGCAAATACTTGGGAATTTTGGTCGATGCACATCTCTCTTTTAAACCACATATTGAAAACCTGATAAAGAAACTGAAATTAAAACTGGGTTTCTTTTTCAGAAATAGATCTTGCTTAACTCTGAATGCCAGAAAACGCCATGTAACCGCTACCTTCCTACCGGCCACTGATTATGGTGACATTATTTACATGAATGCCCCTGCCAGCTCCTTGCAGATGTTGGATGCTGTCTACCATGATGCGCTAAGATTCATAACTGGTTGTAACTACCATACCCATCACCACACCCTGTACTCCTTGGTCAGTTGGTCCTCATTATAGTAAGTAATTAAGTACAAGTCTATTTATATAGTGCTTCTCAAGATAAAAATCACAAAGTGCTTTGACAAAATAAAGAAGTGCACAAAACAAATTTAAGCAAAGGCAGATTTAAAAAGATGAGTTTTTAGCTGGCCTTTAAAAGAAGCCACTGAGTCCACTGATCAGAGAGTTTGAGGAAGGGAGTTCCAGAGTCTTGGAGCCACAGAAGAAAAGGCTCTGCCTCCTTTAGTTTTCAGTTTTGTCTGGGGGACAATCCGCAGGTCTTGATCACAGGACCTCAAAGCCGTGATCAGGGTGCAGGAATGTAAAAGTTCCGAGATGTATATTGGTCCATGTAGAGCTCACCAAGTCAAAACCTAAACCTTGAAATCCACTCGATAATGAACTATGAATTATCTACATGTAGGCTCTCACACTGGTTCATTTTCATCTATGAATCCCTCCTTGGTCTGCTACCTTCTTATATCTCCTCCCACATGTCACGCCGTCAGTGCAGTTACAACATGCGCTCTCAGGACATCATTACCTGCAGCGTTCCCTCGTACGGTCTTAACTTGGCAAAACGTCCTTTTCCTGCTCAGTTCCTGCAACCCTGAACACCTTATAACAGGAACTGAAGTTGTTCACCTTGGTTTTTTTAAAGGAGTTTCAAATATTTGATAATGTCAATAGAAAAATCAATGCAAATATGTTCTTGTTTTTAGTATTTCTTACTGTTTTACGGCACCCTGATTTATTGTTTTATTCCCTACTCTTACTTTAACTGCATTTTTTACTGTTGTTTATTGTTTTCATTGTTTACTGTTATTGTTGTTTGTACTTTATATGTTCTGTCTGGAACAGGTCTCTCTTGTAAATGAATGTCCTCGTGGCTCAATGAGACTAGCCTGTATACATGAATAATCAACAATGTTTATGTGCGCGTCATTGGGTGGAAGACCACATAAAAAGGTTGATTTGTTCTGCCTTAGAATAAATAGTTTTAACTTTTGTGCTCTTCTGTGTAAAATCAGAGTTTTAATCCCACAAACTCAAATACAGATGTGATATTGTTGATCTGATTCACAAAATAAACTCTAAGAACAACTACCGGTACTTGCATTACTGTTAATGCAATGTGGCAAAAAGTATTCTTAACTAGAAGCAAGAAGCAAAGGGGAAGATTGCCCTGCGGCACATAATGAGGGGCCCTTGAGCAAGGCATCAAGCTACCAAACTGTCAGTGAGGAATCAAGGCTCAGCTCCAGGGTGTGATGTGAGATTAACTGTGTGGACGTCAGGCAGGACTGGACATGAGAGGATTAAAGAAAAAAATCTGTCATAATTACCTGAACAAAGTTCAAACCACAAAGGTTCCCTAAAGAGTGTCCACTCACAAAACTAAGGCCACAAAAAAGATTCAAGTGTACACATACATGCTTTCTTTTGACAAGTTGGCTGTAGTGGATCTTACAGGGCAGCTGTGGATCAGTGATTAGAGCAGTGGTCCCCCACAGAGATTTAGTTTGATTCCTGGCAGTATATCAAAATGTCCCAAGGTAAGACACTGAACTCTCATTGCCTCCGATGTGTTCACCATGTCTAAATGTGATCTGAGACCCTGATTACTCGCAGGGTTGTCAAACTCCAGGCCTCGAGGGCCAGAGTCCTGCAACTTTTAGAAGTGTCTCTGATACCACACAGCTGAATCATATGACTGAATTAGCTTCTCAGTGCAGTCAAGTTCTCCAAAGTCCTGCTAATGACCTCCTTATTTGATTCAGCTGTGTGGTATCAGAGACACATCTAAAAGTTGCAGGACTCCGGCCATCGAGGCCTGGAGTTCGACACCTGTGCTCTAGAGAGTGATTTATTCAGATTAGTTTTGTAGAGATGTAGCAGAGTGCTGTATGATGGTGTGTGGACGAGTAAATGAGGGCACAGATTGTGTTGTAAAGCACTTTCAGTAGCCCAATTGGCTAAAAAGGCACTATATATGTACAGTCCATTTCCTGTTGATAAAACTAAAACAAAATATAGCCAAAGATATGGTAAATGGTAAATGGACTGTACTTATATAGCACCTTTCTATCTTATCAAGGTACTCAAGTGCTCAAAATGAAACACAAATGCACAATCTGTGCCCTTATTTACCCATTCCTACAGCACTCTACTATACTGTATCTATACAAAGACAAATCCGTGCTTTAGATCACATTCATACACTGAAGGGACACACATCGGAGGTAATGAGGGGTTCACTGTCTTGCCCAGGGACATTTCAGCATGTGACTCATGGTGGAATTGAACCCCCAACTATCCCATTAGAGGACGACTGCTCTAACCACTCAGCCACAGTCGCCCCATATAAAAAAATAAAATTATTAATTGAAATTGGGGAAAATTCATTTTGATAGGAGACTCAGTTTGCTCATTCTTGAACACATGATGTTGCACGGTGTCTCAGTTGGTGGAGGTGTTGCCTTTCAGAACAAAAAAAAAACATGCATGCTAGGGTGATTGGTAACTTTAAATAGTCCCTAAGTGTGAGTGAGAGAATGAATGGTTGTTTGTCTCATTGTGTCAGTGTAGTCCTGTGATGGATTTGTAACCTATAGGGTGTATTACTGCCGGACATGGGCACCAGTGACCCCCACAACCCATAAAGGAAAAAGCAGGAAAGGGATGTGTGGATGTTTAAATGAGGTCCTTTTACACACTGGCTCAAACAGTGTGCTGATGAACCAACAATTCCTTGTTCTCAATCTAATCATTGTAAAGAAATAAACACATATGAGAGTTTATGCTCCACTTTGCTGGATTAGAACTAGATCTTACCCGGCCGTGTGGTGTAAATGACCTTGTAGCCATCAACAACTCCTTCCTTTGGTTTATTCCATGCCACGTCCAGCTTTTTCGGACCAACAACTTTTGCACGAAGTCTCCGTGGTGTTGATGCTAGAAAGACAATAAAAGGAAATTCAGCTGCATTGAGGTAATAGTTGGTTTGAACCATTTTTTTTTAAATATCTGAATATTGCATACTTTGAAAACATAATTTTAAATAAAACTTCCCATGCACCATTCTTTTAATTACTTTTGGTTAATACTGGAAAAAAATACCACTGTCAATAATGTATAATAATGGATGACATTTATAACAGTAGATGGAGTTCAACTTTGTTGGAGTTTAACTTCTATTTTTACAAATCACCTAAAGCACCAAGGCACAGCAAGCAATTATAGAAACTTTGATTCGTTTCTACTTAAACGTAGCATCACTAAAGAGTTAGGTTAGATTGAACTCCCTCCAGAGTTATGGTGCCGTAGAGGCAGTCACTCCATTTGTGTTTTAAACATTTAGAAAATACGGTGGCCCTAAGGTGTAAATGAACAACAATTGAAAAAACAGAATTACATTTGAAAAAACTGAATTACACTTGAAAAAACTGAATTACATTAAGCCAAAGCGGAAGTATCCAAAGCAGAAGTGGCCGGAATCACATTTGAAAAATAAACGGAATTACATTTGGAAAAAAGGGAATTATATTAAGCATTACCAGAAGTGGTGTTTTTTTGTTTTTGTTTTGTTTTTTTACTTGATTAACAACATAAAACAGGACAACAGAACAATGTACAGTACACACACAATGGAGGTACAGTTAGCAGGCTAGCCTTTAGCCTGTAGAAATGGAGAGCTATGTTTTGTTCAAGC